CCGCCCCCTCGGGGGTGGGTATGGGGGGAATCTAAGGAGGAGGTCTCCCCCATCACTGTACCATGAAAAGTTCGTGGCGGTCTCACCCCCATAAAAAGTTATGGGGGTTCAAAGTTAATAAATATGCCAATTTTTATACATTTCTAGGCATGTAAATATTTATATAGTCATTCTTAAACAATTTTCAAAGGTAAAACTAAAGGCAAAATACATAAAAAAAATTGAGAAAGTTATATAAAACATTATTTAAATATCTTTATCAGTAGGGTAGGTTAGGTTAGGTTATCGGTTTTTGTTCAAGTGACCATCCTCTTCCGATCCCCCACCTCCACCCGCTTGAAAATATTTTTTTATTGAATTTTATTTGAATTATAGTGTATGAAAATTGTCAAAATAATTAACTTTCAACCCCTATAACTTTTTATGGGGGTGAGACCGCCGCAATTTTTTTTATGGAGTTTACTCAGATGACCGCCCGATTTTGATCCACCTACCCTCTTTCGATCCCCTACCCCCACCCCATTCTAACCCCCATAACTTTTTATGGGGGTGAGACCGCCACGAACTTTTTATGGTACAGTGGTGGGGGAGACCTCCTCTATCCATCCCACCCACCCCCACCCCCTTCGTGGTGGTGGCCATCATCTAGACATTTACCAATAATTTTATCATGAGATATTGTTAAGCAGTAAGAAGTTTCTTTAATACAATATGCTTAACATTCTTACTTCCACTTACTTTTTTGCATATTTTGTCAGTATTTTTACTAATTTGATTTATTTTTAACAAAATTAAAAGGAAAAAGCTTCAAAGTGAAACTTCTGTAACATACAAAAGCTAATGGCATATATTAAGGATATTTTTATTACGTAAACTCGCTAATTATTGCAAGTACATAGTAGAATGCGTTGCGTGGTTATTACCAACAATGTATGCAACTTTGTGTTTTCCACGTAACTATTTATTATTGTTCATTTGTTACGACTGCATTTTTTTCGCGGACCAAAGGTATGTATACACATAAATAATGCTAATACTCCCATCAAAGTTTATTGTCGGGGTCGTCGACAATAGTGTACGGCTATAAATAATACGTTAAAACATACTGCAACGTTTTAAAATTCACGACATTTACAACGACACGAAATGCTGCGCAATTTAATAATTAAATTACAATACAATTATAGAATATCGAAGGAAACATACTCTTACCATCGCAAACTTGTTCATTTAATTATTTGTTCCTAAAATTTCAACACTTTTCCGGATAACCATTTTGGGTAACAGTTTAAAAATGTTTGTTGTATATTGTACATACGCAAACTTCCCCTGTTTGAAATTGTAGGAATTAGTAATACGGTGACATCTAGCGGATTGCTGCTCTGTTATTAAATTCGATTACTTCCATTACTTCTTTATCTACATTTGGTAGTTGATTTTTAATTGAATGGTATGGTATTTTTTTACTGTTCTAATGTTAAAATCATGGGACAGTACAGTTTTTATTAAAATAAATGCAAAGTATTAATTTGCTTTTAACTATTTTAGCATGCATTATTAATTTAACGTTTATGTTTATTCAATTTGTCTTTGAAAATTAAATTATTACGAAGCATCAGCGCATTAAAAAACTTATAGTATGTTCATATTTATAAGTCACATTTTGGATATAAAAATGAATAAAACTAAATTAAAGCTGCAGAAACTATGATAACGGTATAATATACCAAACTTTTATGCATACCAACTACCAGTTAGATGGCTCTGCTATGCCGATTAAAAATAACCTAGGAAAACGTCAAATTGCCCGAAGGTTTTCGAAGTATGCGATTGAAAGTAACAGAAACTAATCTATGGAAGTAAGCAATAAAAGAAGTAGTTTTTAGGTTGTTATTGTAATGGATTTATGTGTAATTGTTCGTGTTAATTATACGTTATTGTTTAAGGAGAAATTACATTAACTTTACAAAGCGTTTTTATGCAATTAACTCTAAGTTTAATGAATGCCGTTGAAGTGTGTCGTAGACAATTTTTTTTATTAATAATTGTTTGTTACTGTGGTTCTATATTGTGCAGTTCGTTAGGAAAAAGTATGGAAAATTTTAGGTAAGTTTTATTAAATTTTTAATATTATACAAAAGTTTAAATTATGGCTTTTAGGGTATACACTGTAACTTATAACGTGGGCACCAGCAACCCCAGTAAAGATTTACATGATATGCTTTCTCTTTCACCCAAACCTGACAAAAATAGCTATGACTTATATGCTGTCAGCCTCCAAGAAGTGAAAGCTCAACCCCAAAATATGCTTTTGGATGTGTTTTTTGAAGATCCATGGACAGATGCAGTTAAAACATTATTAGAAGCAAGGGACTATGTAAAAATAAAGAGTGTTCGATTGCAAGGCTTAATTCTGAGTATTTTCTGTTTAAAGAAACATTTAATTAATTTAAGGCAAATTGAGTCTGAATATACAAGGACAGGATTATCTGGGATGTGGGTGAGTGTTAATTAATAATAAGTAAGTACTACTTATTTATGCAGTTTCTTGAAAGGTTTTTAACAACCAAGACTTGCAACTTCATCTATGAAAGCTTTAAAGCGTAAATATGTCAATAAATGCATGAGATAAGTATCTCTTTAATTTTATGACATTGAAAACTTAATTTGTAAAGTGAAGTCATCATTTAAAAATATATGTAGGTACATGGATGTTGTTGCATTTTTAATTATATTGATTTCATTTTGCTATCTATATGCTCAAGAAATAAAATAAAAGTTGTATTCTGACTTTTAATATCATGCTGTGATAAAATTTACTTATTTATATATATATTTTTCGTTAAATTGAGCAAACACAGTACACATTCCATACTGTAAAAAAAACTATATCTTCACTTAAGAAATAATTGTCTGTTGGCCTTAAAAATCACTGTTCTACCGTTGCTGTAAATCTCCAAAATGTTTGGCATTTCTCATGGTGTATTATCTGGAGAGTGTTATTTGCATTTTGCAAATCCTAAACCATTGAGTAAAGTTTCATTAGATTAGAGTTAAAGATTAATGTAGTCACCCAATGGGCAGAAGAGTGACGTTGACATTGCTGGTCTGATGGTTGTAATGAGAGAGAATGTTATTTTCAAACAAGAAATTCTAAAAAGCAAACATCTAATTTTTTTTAGCAGAAAATGATATTTCATTACATTTTCGTGTATTTATTGCTATTTGTTACTGAGTAGGTTTTAAGTATTGCATAATTGTATGTATTGATTAGTTGTAGACGTTTTTTACACATTCGTAGACGTGAACAAATCGATAATGTGTTTTTGGATTCATATTTGAATGTCTACTGTAAAACCTTTTCATCACTTAAAATAAGTGGAATAAATTTTAGTATTTTTATTATTTTTTCTTTTTTTTTTAAGGGAAATAAAGGTGCAGTGGCAATAAGACTAAGCATATACGGTGTCTCTTTATGTTTCGTTAATGCCCATTTATCAGCACATGATCATCAGTTAAAAAATCGAATAGAGGATTATGATAACATAATGACTAGCCAAACGTTTCATATTCGTGAACAGAGTGCCATTCTGTTTCATGAGTAAGCATCATGCCTAATTATTTTAGACAGAATTCAAAATATTTTATTTAAACAGCTAATTCGTATTTATTTTGATCATAGTTATGTTTTTTGGATGGGTGACTTAAATTTCCGAATAAACGAGGACGTTTTCAAAACTCCTGCAGAAGTTGAAGCACTTATAAAAAATGGGGAGTTAAAAAAACTTTATGAAAATGATCAGCTATATACGTGTATGAGAAAGGGAGATGCTTTTAGTCAGTTTACAGAACAGCCTCCCACCTTCCCACCAACATTTAAATTTGAAGTGGGAAGTTCTGATTACGATCATAAGTAGGTGTATATCAATTTAATCGTTTAATTTATTCACTATAAGCCTTTGAATATGATAAAGGATATAAAAATATGTTTGTCTTTTAAAGATTAGTGAAAGAATTTGTTTATGATCTAATTTGTATGTCTTATTTAATAAGCTAATCGATTTCAATCGACTAATAACAATAGCGTTAATTTTATATAGACGAAGACCTGCATGGTGTGATCGGATTTTATATCGCGTAAGTCCTCACAACTATCAAAACGTAACACTCCACATAGAACAGAAATCTTATAAATCCCATCCGTCTTATCAGCTTAGCGACCACAGACCGGTTTCAGCCAATTTCGTCATTAAGGTGAGCAATGTTGGTGGCTTTCATGTATTCGTCATTAAACGCTTTTATAAAACTTGTTAACTTCCCATTAGGAAGTTATTGTAATTGGGTCGAAAAGTGAAATCGGAATTTTCATTATATTTCCACGTTTTAACATATTAGTAGCATGCTAGCCAATTTTTTTGATGATGTGTGTATGTACGTACGTACGTACGTACGTACGTATGTACGTACGTTCGTATGTCAGCATTTTTTTCGTTTTCGATATCTCAAGAACGGATTGAGATATCGCCCTCAACCAAAATTTTTTCGAAAGATATTATCATAATGAAGATCTGAAAGAAATTTGAACGAAATCGGTCAAGCCGTTTTTTTTTTATAAAAAAAAAAACGAATTAATTACAAACAATTTAATTAAAATACGTTCTAATCTAATCACAACAATGAAGTTACGGAATCAATAATAACGAAATATCATTATTCAAGACAGGGAATAACATATTATAATAACATATTATAATAAAAATTTGTTTATAACAAAATGAATTGTTATAAACAATCGATAAACAATAAAAAATAGTATTTACCAATTGACTGATGCAAGTACTCTATCAATTCGGTTTTCTCAGACGAAATACTGTTTCTTATGGGTTTATAAAATGACGAACTCTCAAACATTGTTTGTTATTTATTATTGTGCCGCGTTTTTTTCAAACTTTAGAAACGAATGTACTTTACAATAACTGTATTATCTAATGGGAAGTTAGTCGTATTAGCACCGACCAAAATGTGCTCAGACCAATTTTTGCTTCTCGTATCAAATGATTAAAAATTTAAGGATTACTGTAAAATATTCCCTTTTATTTATTTTACTGGAAGTATTCAATTTCCTTCTTCTTTGCATGTGTTATACTTATATAATCTGTAAGTGATTTTAATTATTCTTGTGTTCTTCGGACTGCTTTTCCCCTCGATCCTTTTACTTGCCACTGCCATGTTTCCAAGTCTCCTTCTTCATAAAACTCCTCATTGTTGTTTCCCATGTCGTTAGTTTTCATTATTTATTTTCTCGTTTATATTCTTTCATCTTCCCTTCATACCTTGAGTTTCTGTAATAAACTAAAAAACAAATTTATTTCATTACCAATAGACAAAAAAATAATTTTTGACAAAGTTTCAGCGGGCTGTATTTTATTTGTCGGTATCCCTTTAACAGTTCTACAATTAGTTTACAGTCAGTTACAGTGCAAACTGTATTTTTTATTTATCGTTAAATGTTTTTATAAGTGTTGTCTTCCGTCAATTTTCGCAGCTTGGGGCAATCTACCTAATTTTTTGCCATCTTATTTACCGAACGTACAATATTATAGGTCATTTATAAATCAGAAGTGGATTCTGTACGATCTAGGGGTTTACAGGTCTTCTCGCACTTCGAAGAGACGGTAGTCAAATTCGATCGAATACCTTTCTGGTATACAGATGAGGAGAACAGTGCTACATTCAAAGTGACGCAGCCCTTGCAATGTTGCAAAAACGACTGGATAGGGGTTTTCAAGGTACTCATACCTGTAATAAATTAAATATTGCTTTTATGTTCCTTCCCAGAAGACAGCTAACAATAAATATTAGTAGATGGCGCTATACCGTCAATAATTAGATATAGTATCTTTTACGTACATATATGTGCATAAAAATTTCTTTTAGGATAAGTTCTCCAGTTTAGAGGATTACATGATGTACGAATATGTAAGTAAGGCTTCTACGCCAGTTCCGGAAGCACAGGGTGCGTCGTCAGCCCAAGCACCACCCTCTTTCACTCCGAATATGAAACAGACCATTACGTTCCCGGAGATAAAGACCCGATCGCGGGGTCTTTTCCGATTAATTTATTTTAGCTTAGACGAGGACAATGTACAGAGCATTTTGGGCGTAAGTGACCCTTTCCCCCTTCAGGAAAAAGAGAGCAGCAGCCACGACAGCAGTAGTGAGAGCAGTAGCAGTTACTGAAAATTATTGTACGGCAGTATTCGACAGGGTTGCTCGGAAATACGTAGAGTTAAGTAGTATGTACACTGGTAAGGCTTTCAATTTTCCTTTTAGCGAATACAGGTCGAAGTTTATTAATTATGAAATATAAATCTCGACTTTCTTTGATATTTTTATTTTTGAAAACAGTTATTACAAGAATACCTTTTTCGTGTTTGAAAAGATTCAATCTTTTAAATGATGTATATAAGAGCTTTATTTACATAGAAGCGACATTAACTTAAAAAAGCCAAATTTTCTTGCATAAGCAGCGACAAATTTAGCTTACTGTGCTGTGGGTTCAGTATTAGTTAAAAATTTAAGGAAGGAATTAAAAAAGCAGAGTTGGGTAAGCATGCATTATATAAGTCCTGAAGAACATCTCTAGATTCTGAAGGAATTTGTTAATTGCCTACTTAGCTATAGTGACTCTTTTAAGGCACTTGTTATTTAAATTTTTTCATCCCATATCTCCTACTTATTTATTTACTATGTTCTGATGAAAAAGGCCTTTTATTTGTGTTTTGATTTTAAATTTCAAGTGGTAGCTATTCATTTTAATCTCCGTTGTTGACATTATTGTTGTTGTTGTTGTTATTGTTGTTGTTTATAGTATTATACTATTGTTGATGTGTTGTTACATAGACTTTTTTCTGATCTCATCAGGTACAAATAAAATTTTTATTTTCGTATAATTCAAACTACTTTACCAGTGAGTCATAGCTTACAAGTAACAGATCGTCTTCTGTCAGTTATATAATTCAGTAACTGTTCAACTGTACTCCATTAATTTTTAATAGGTAGACGCTCATTCAACACATTTGTTAATACAGTAGACATTCGATAGTGTCAACATCGCAAAATATTTTATTCGTGTACTTACTTTATTAGACAACTGATAAAAAACGTTCATCTTCAGCAAAAAATTTAATCTAACTTTTAATGAGTACCAACATTGACAAAAGTGAATAATTGTTTTTTTTTTCGGTTTGCACTTGATTGTCTACTGCAATTTACACATTTGTACTTAGCCCTTAAACAAAAAAGAAAAAGAAATTATAATGTATAGATATTTAGAACGAACAAGGTGGAACCAATTTTATAATACATATTTTTATTTATTTAATTAGNCAGGATAAGCTCATTATACACAGTACCAAGTAACAAGATCGAAACCTGAAAATATTTTTATAGCACGTGAGGTTTTATTTAGGCAAAACATTGGTATGCTTGGATTTGCAGATATAGCAGTATTAGCATCTAATAAATAAAAGTAAACCTGGTGTTCAAGGGAAAAAAAGTAGGGAAAGAGCGAATATAAAGATAGAAGACGAAAAATTAGTAAAGAAAATTATATAATGACTGATTTTCGGTATCTTGAAAGTTAGATAACTAAGGATGGAAGGAACTGTAGAGGCGAGTCGCAAAAAAATTGTTAAAGTTGTATGGCTAGAAAGGATAGGAGAACAGAGGTCACTATGGAAGTCAATAAGAAATAGGCGAGATAGGTTGTTAGGAGGTTCTACTTAGAGACATATTAGAAGTAAAGAAAAGTTAAGAGGAGTAGAGGTAGACCTCGCTTAAATTACTGCTCCTAAATAGTTAAGGATGTTGGATGTTCTAGTTGTAGCCTTATCAAAGGGGTAAATTATCAATCCCCAGTCACCAGCTCCCAGTATATTTATTGTATTTTATTTTTACTGATGTTTTTTATCGCAATGGAGAATTTATAGTCTTTATTTATTAATTATTAACTTAAACAATTATCTTTAGAACAATTAATAATACCATCCTGTAAAATTTTCTTATTTTATACTTATATCAGTTTAGTACAAATTTGCTTTATTTTTATTATTTCATTTATTATTTCTTATCACTTAAATAGGAAATATAAGCTATGCTAATGCTATATATGTAATACACTTACATGAATACGTATTCATATGATGAGCCTTTTATAGATAATTGCAGCCTTTGTAGGTACTGTACTACTGATGATGATAAACGATAACTAGTGCTAAATTGAACACCAGTTACTATTATTATACCTCATTGATTTACTTGTTTGAATGTATAATATATGGGGTCAATTTGATAATTTTAATACGGTGTTACATTAGGCACTTTCTCTTGACTAAATCAACTCAATAGTTTCGCAAAAGTTGTTAATACTAATAAAAAGTACATACATACACCCGTAGATAACATAATTTTGTTAAAAAGTAAGTCTATTTTTTTATGTCAGCTTTAAATCAAATAATAACTAAATACCACTTGATAAAATTATTGTAATTGATAAGCCGAAATAAAATTTAATTTGCAGTTTAAAAACTATATTTTTATTTTAGTGGCAACATCCATCCTACAACTCTGTTTGCAAACAATAATCGAGGTCTTCCTCGACTTTTTACTCTTATTTCTGCTTCTAGCTGTCTCAGAAGATGCCCTACCATTCTATTCTTTCATTTTCCTTATTAACTTCCATATCACCTTTTATTCGGCTCTTTCCAACATCTATTTCCTGTACACGGTATTTTCTGCAATATATTTAAATACATATTGATGATCGAAAATACAATAATTTGATAAATAGTTATAACCAGGATCTTCAGCATAAAAGTAAAGTTTCTAATTTTCTAGTTTAAACACACAGAATTACAGCAAATGCTGTCCTCCTTTATCGAGATGAAAAGATATTTTTCTGTCCCTCGGAAAAAGATTTTTTTCTGGATAAAAGGTACCCTGTGTTGTTTTCTGTACTCCTGACAATGTGTGTACATTGATGATGGGTAGAGTAGTTAAGGCGTGAAATTGTAATAAACAAACTCACATTACTATTTATAGTATTAGTTAGGATTCAGCACTCTGTTATTTCAGTGTGTCGTCCCATTGTTTGTCTCTAGGTCACATTACTTCCGTCCTCTAGTTAATATAATTTTATGTTTAAATTAAATATTAAAGCGCATTTTAGGTACCAAAAATAAAAAAAGGATCAGATTTTGTGGACTCCCACCCACTCTCATCAGTAATGAGATATTTGCTTTCAATATGGTTATCTGGGCGCCCCCATTCCATTTTTATGGCCCACTGCCATTTCAAAATAAGAGTGTATAATTTTGGAAAGAGTGTTGAAGGTAGGGGTTTTAATTAATTCCTACCTTCAGTTAAAGATTTGGTATACTACATTAATTTTGAGTAATTATAGGTCGAAATTGGTAAACGGTTGCGGAACTCTGTCGACCTATCGTGTATATATTGGACACGATGTTGATTTGTTCTTTATTATAATCCTGTTTATACAGAATTATGTTTTGACTTTTTTTGGGTAAAAATGTAAATATTCTTACATTTAAAAAATTATATTAATGATTAATAAACATGCACGTTTGTTAAATGCAATGTGTAAAGTAAAATGGATTGCAGATATTCACCCGTCTTCATTTTATAACATTTCTGTAAGTTGGTTTAATTAATTTTTCAAAGTAATATTGTTAGTGTTTAAATTTTAAAAGATAAAATTCGAAAAAGTTCGTGGATTTTATTAAGAAATTATTGCTTTCGTAAAGGTATAGATATATACCACAGATGGTGCGATAATGAGTGCGTCGAATTAAAATTACGATTTTGTGTTTTGGTGAATCTTCAATATCTACATTTTTTATATTTTACAATATTGGTTGTTGGTAGAATCGATTTGAAGGTATTTTGTGTAATGCGGATTGGCGTAAATGGATAGAGGTAAAGGCTACTGCCCCCCAGCCCCTAGCGAGCAAAAAAAAAGAAAAAAGGTTCTGCTGAGTCATCATACCAGCACAAAGTTTAAAACACAGAAACTTATCACTCTGTGTATAGTTACAGCTATTGAAAATTCCCCCCCGCCTCGGAAAAATCTCTTGCTACGTCCATGTTGATGCGCTTAGGTTAAATTTAGAGACTAAAAGACCCCGCGTTGTATTAAAAATGAAATATACATTGTAATAATAAAGATATTTATTTTAATAATACTTGTCAAATAGAAAAAAATACGAACAGTCTTAACAAATTAGGCAATAAAATATAAAAATTGTCGATTTTTATATACACATACAAAATACATAACATACAACCAATATTAACACAATGGGCATCGATTTTATGTAACTAGAAAATAACAAAAAAAAAGATTTATACTTAAAATAGATTCTCAATTTATAAAATTATTGTGCAAATATTTTTTTTATTCGATTTAAATTTAGTTGATAGATCCTTAGCAGGTGATTTGGACATTTTTTAACGAAAAAAGTATTTTTTTATTTAAAATTGCTTATTTTAATCGAAAGCTCAATGACG